TGAAGGAAACTCGCCGAGTCCATAAGGGACTCAACGAGTCGAGTCAGGTTGCCCGGCGATTCGTGACAGGAGTAACCTATCGAGTGAAGGGATGAATTGACTTGCCAAGTGAGGCTTAGAAGGATCCAGAGGAACAACATGGACTCACCGAGTCGCCCATGTGTACCTGACGAGTCGGGTCAAATTTTGATCGTTGACTTCCGTTGACCTTAGGGTTTTCGTCAAGCTGATTCAAGTTGAGGTCAAGGAAGGGTAGAATGGTCTTCCACCCATCATTTAGAGATGAGATCATGAGAGGGTATTGATTAGTGATGTTATTATAATGATAGGAGGAGGCTAGGTCGGGACGTCGAACATGTGAGCTTATCCGACTTCATTTGAGGTGAGTCTTCTCACTATACTTTACCTAGAGTGGTAATTAGAGTTATGTGACAGAGTATCTTGTATGCTATTTATGTTATGTGATGAAATACATTATTTATATGTGATTTATGTTGTGCGTGTTTCATAGTTTACACAGTTAGGACCGGAAGGTCCACAAAGTTAGGACGAGAGGGTCCATAGAGTTATAGCCTCGAGTGGCTAATATGTGTTGTGTGTGGTATTTATGGGAACTAACTAAGCATTTATGCTTACAGTGTTATGTGATATGTGTTTTAGGTACCAGTGATGATCGCGGGAAGGTGCCGGCATGATCAGTACACACTTCTGGAGTTTTTACGACATGAGATCTTGGGATTTGTTTAAGTTGGATAATATGTGAAACATTGATTTGAGAATTTCTAATGAATGAATTTATGTTTTAAAAATGAAAATTTGCCTTGAAAATTTGTGTTGTTACAGTTACGTATCTGGGAAGAGAAAGGTGAAAGGGTCTTGCGTCTACTCTCAGTTGGGTAAAGCTCATCAAGGGTTTCCTTGGTGCTTTTATCCTTGCTAGATTCTTAGTCGGAATTCTCCCTTTCACAATTCATCTCTAGGTATCCCTTAGTGTCCCCTTCTGGATTTTCCTTTTGAACTTCTTTTGGTCTCTCCTTGCTCCATCTGCAGTCACGTGATAGGGTAGTAGAAGTCTTGGTGGGGGAATTTCAACTATGTCGTTTGTGCAAGAGCCGTGGGTCGAGATATACAAGGATAGTTTAGGTCTGAGGGGGGTTTATAGTATCCTAAAATACTCCTTTAGTCTTGGTGGGGGAATTTCAACTATGTCGTTTGTTGCAACACCACCATCACTCCTAAGCACATGTTGGTCATATCTCAATTAAATATAGTTGATCAGTCTATATTGACCGCATATATGATTACATAACTGCCCAGGTTTGAATGTAGTGTTCAACCATTATTTACTTTTGGTTTCTTCTCGTTATGATATTGGGTTAATAATTATGTATACTTTTGTAAAATACTTATCTTCTTAAAGTATATTTTTAGACAGAGTTCTTGTTAGTCCCATTGTATTTATATTTGTATATATCATATGGCTAGATATACCAGTTTACTATAAACAATGCTCTGATACTAATCTGTCACACCCCGGACCAGACAACGAAAACGTCCGGAGGCGGGTGACTTCATTGTGCAGTATCATAACAATTGAATATAAGTGAAACAGAGCAATCCAAACATCATACATTGAGATAACAAATTTACATGGTTTACATATTTTATTTGTTCTTCGAGTTACACAAAAGATACATAAATAGAAAAGAATCCAAACTATAGATAAATGGTCTTGCATCAACATCCCTTGTTACCTGCTTACTAGATCCCTGAGAATACAAGTCGTTTTGAAAAGCATCAACTAAAAAGTTGGTGAGTTCATAAGCATTTTGTATAAAATCATTTACCCTTGTTTAGAATCGTTCTCATTGTGCTTTCAGAAAATCTGATATTCTCTATGAAATCGTTTGAAGTCTTACCTTGAAAATCATGGATGTATGTGTGTATGTCATAACTATTGTTAATCTCTAAAAGGAGTGACTTTGAAAAGTAGTGTGATTTGTAAAAACGAGCAGTATACAAAAATAATTCTTTAGAATAGTAATAGTCAACCTTTTCAAGAAAAATATCCCTTATTTTCAAAAAGAGAATATGGTTGAAAATTTTGTTCCTCTTATTGAGTAAAATTGAGTGTGCGTTCTATTTTATCGTTATTGAAATTGTAGAAAATCGTTTTCTCCAGACAATCCTATATTTTCTGCTATAAAATATTCGTAAGTTCTAGTTCCAAATTTGTATATGTGTGGGTTAGTTTATAGTTTTAACAAAAAATCGTTTACAAACGTTTTCCATAGAGTCCTACGCTTTTTAATTTGTAAAATAGTAGTATTACGACTCTATACTTGTTAGGAGAAAGAATCCACATGGCAATTGTGGACATCCTACGCAATGAAAAAGGACAGTCAACACAACAAATGTGGACCATCACCTATCATGTGTACGACAGTCAACACAACGTTTCAAAATTTAGTTATGAGGTTTTCCTTACATAAATTTCTAGTTAATATAACATATTCTGGTGAGTCGTTATAACCATACTAATCTGACGGAGTGCCTATTTTCGCGTTTCTCAGGCACCCTCGGTTTGGAAAAGACATTTGTCATCCTAGACTGGCCTGTCTAGCTGTAGCAAACAGGGAAGGTATAGGGTGTCAACCCCATATAGATCTTTTACATAAATCCCTGCTCTCTCTCCAGGAGACTCTGGCTATAACTCCTTACAGGACTTACACGTACACTAATATTTTTATATTTAGATACTTTTGAGAATTGTTTGATAAGAATATTAACAATCTTTTGAGCAATCGTTAGAGATCCATTATTTGTTATATAAACAATTAAATTCATAATTATTGAATAGAGATATCATTGTTGTTCCCTATCGTTGATTGTACTCGTTAACTGGGTGCTCTTGTTCGTTCCTTTTCGTTTATTGAAAAATAAGTCATTTTAGTCAAGAGAAAAATTGTCAAGTTATAATTTGTATAAATTTATAACTGCCGATTATGAAACGCATTTTCTATTTCTGACATATAGAACATTACTTATGTTCTTGGAGGTTTTATGACAGCAGTTTAGGGCATGCAAATATTTCTGTCATAAAAGCTCTATTTGTACATTTTCTTAATGTAAAATTTTATATCGAATATTTATAAAATGCTTCCTAATAGTTTGCAAATAGCCACAAAGTTTCCATTTTCAAAAATTACTAGAAATGGTGTCCACTTATTAATGTCCCTTTTTATAAGTTTCATCTCTAGACATGAAAGCATAGATAAAGGGGTTAAGTTGGACACACCTAGTAGTTGGGAGGCTCTTTTGTACACAAATTATCCTCTATTCTTTATGAAGTTGTGAAATAATACATTCATGAGTATGTTACTAAAATAATAATTTAATAATACTTCACACACACACACACAAACATAAGTATACATGCAATTATTCAAGTATTTAGGAAAGATTTGACTTGTACTCTCCCCCACACTACTAGAAAAATAGCCTTTAATGACGCACAAACAATGAAACACGGTTATTTACGATCCGCAAAAGCGCGCGCCCTAAAAATAATGTCATCTCTTATAAAATTTGAAGGATAGAGGACAAGCATTTTTCCGTGCCCTAAAATTAGTGTCCAAAAAAAACACGGAGGGCACATATGATAAAATATGTGTCATGTTCGCATGTCGCTTTATATTTTTTTTCATAAACACGCATTTTGGGGGGGGGGGGGGAAATGAAATTCCAAAAGTTCGAAAAGTCGCCATGCTCTCCTCTACCTTCTTTTAATCGTTCTCTCTCTCTCTCTCACACTCTATCTCTCTCACACACATAATCAAATACCAAAAAAAACCTTCAATCTGAGAGCCACGATGTCTCTTTCGTCGTCACTGCTCTTTTCCCCCACAACAACATCACACCATCACCAAATCTCCGATCTCCGACCGATATGTCCACCCATTCTCTACCCCCGCTCTAATTCGCTCAGTCAAATATCCAAAAAAAATGAACCACGATGCGCTTTTCCTTTCTCCCATACCAGTCGGAAGAAATCAAGGAGTCTGGTGTCTAAAATTCTATTTAGGGCCACAAAGTCAACTATTATTGGAACTAGGGTTTTGGTTCATAGTGAGATCGAAGGTTTTTTGGTCACCAAGCCATGAAATTGAAGTCAAAGGGGTATAGTTGTTGGAACCATGACTATTGTTAGAACTAGGGTTTCAGCTCATAAACCCTCCATCTACTTCTCTCAATCTTCAGTTCCTCAAGTACTTTCTTAGCCTCTCAATCAGTGGAAGAGTTATATCACAACTATAAATTTAGAGTGATTTCCATATCAAGTAGATCAGCAGATCCATTATAGTCAAGGTCTCGAAACTCCATTGTCAATCACCATCAACATTCTGCTTCTTTATTTGTTCCAGAGGTTCGTCTTCCTTTATTACGAGTTTTTTAACCTTATTTAATCGAACTCGATTAGCCCTTTATACCAAATGTTATCTTTTGTGTTGTTGCTTCTGTTTCGTTCTTCTACACTTTAAACCATTAATAATAAAAATTTTCAATTTCTTCATCATCAATTTCGTAACTTATATCTACCTTCCTAAAACATTCTTCCCATTATATGAATGTATCACTTCAACGGTTGCACTGCTAGTGGCCATGAACAAGCAGGTGGCAAAGAAGCCCTAGAGCAAGATTTTGTAGAAATTTTTGGTCTTGAATAAAAAATTGTTCATTCATATGTTTACCATTTTTAATTATTCATCTGTTCTTCCCACCATTTTTATTAGGTTCTCAATTTACTTAACACGCTTTAGTTCAGTTCTTCTCAGGCACTCATGCCATTACATGTGCCCTGTTTGCTTTCTTCAGGCCTATTGATGAGGTACTTAATCTACTCATCTAGAAAGCATAAAATTTATTCATTAATTTTTATTAGCTTTTGGTTATTGTTGGTGCTCCTTATGATACACTAGAAGAAGTTATTGGAATCAAAGATGAAATGGAAATGGTGCTCCTTCTCTGATGCACCTAACGGTTTTGACACCAAACCTATAGGACCTTCCACAAGCAATAGCATTTGGGATACATCTAATACACTTGGTAGAATGGTATTTCTCACCTAACTCTACTAAAAGGTTTTTTGCTCTTAAACTATAGCTAGAATCATAATTTGTCCTTGACATCCTTGTGCATCTAAGGATATCTTTTGTTTGTTCAATAGGAGACAAGCTTTGCGACAGTGAGATTACATAGTAGCTTTGATTCAATGGAAGATTCTTTTGGCTCTCATAGTAATCTAAGTGATGTTGCAATTGATTTGATTGGAAGATCTGGGTCAACTACCAATACCATGGTTAATGTTTATAATTCTCCTAGTTCTGGAAAGAATCTTTTGAATCAAAGACAAGATTCTGGGAAAGTTTCACATAATATCCCCGCATCACCATTAAGAACTTTTAGATCCCCTAAATATGTTCTGGACGATGATGTGGCAACAGAAGAACTTCGTGCAGAAGCAAGAACATGGAAAAGAAATGCTAGGAAGTTGATGGTTGATCTTGAATTATCAAGAAAGGTGACTAGTGATCAAACAAGGAACATGGAAAATGTGACTATGGAGCTTTCTGCATTACAAATAGAATGTGATGATCTGAAAAACAAAATCAAACACCTGAAAATTCTCTTAGGTGAGTCAGAAGTGAAAGATAGGGATGTTGATAATCTAAAAGCTCAGGTTCAAGATAAAAATGGTATCCAAGCAGAACTTGAAGAAGAAATAAAATTTCAGAAAGATTTGAATAATAATTTGAGTATAAAATTGAATAAAACTCAAGAATCAAATCTTGAGCTAGTTTCTATCCTCCAGGAACTAGAAGAACAAATAGAAAAACAGAAATTGGAGATAAATAGTCTCGGGGCATCAGAACAATCAGCAGTTGATGAAGACAATGTAGAAGAGCATACATGGGTAGAAGTGTAAAGAATCACAACAACAGATAAATTTAGACTTGAGCTTCAACTGTAGAAATTTCAGGAATCACAAGAAAAGTTGGAAATCCCATGAGAGGTATGATTATGAAACAGAGAAATTAACTTTTAACTTTTAACTATTAATCTTAATTCTTAAATCTTAATCTCTTAATTAAGGTTATTAACTAATTTTTTTAGTTGGTCTATCTTCACCCTGTTCATAATTATGCTATTATTGCATATGACCCTTCTGCTCTTGGAGCCACAGGTGCCTTAGTTGAATGAGCTGTTGTACTTCTTCCTTGTAGGAAAATTTACATAATCTTATTGGTGGCCATTTTTCCAATGAAAAATGATCGTAACACTTATGGAGAATTATGTGTAAACTTGTATGACTTCTGATCGTAGAACTTATGGAGAGTATTGTTTATATATATATATATATATATATATATATATATCTTTCACACCACACATCTCTCTGAACACAATATAATCTATTTATGTATCTTTTTTTCCTCTCCTCCTAAATCTTGATCAATCAATCAAAAACCCTATCTTTATATTTTTAAAATTCAAATCTTTTGATTTCCTTTTCTTGAATATACGACTCTGAATAGCATAGTAGCAGATAAGATGAATTCTTGTTGTTGTTCACTTAGCTACATTAGAGATGGAACAAGCGATACCGCTGCTCTACATGAGGTAATAATTAAAGCTCTTTCTTGATTAATTTAATTATTTTTACTATATTTTTATGATTTTTATTTTTTGAAATTGAAATTGTAGGATGATATTGGTCTTGCTGTGGGCATCAAAGGAACTGAAGTTGCAAAACAAAGTAGTGATATCGTAATCTTGGACGACAATTTCGCTTCCATTGTAAAGGTCTGATATCTTCTGTTTCTGGTGTTTATGTTGGTATAGAAAATGCTTCAAAAGTATTTTTTTATTAATGTGTTTCTTCGGCATGCAAACATACAAAAATTTATTTAATTCCAACTCATTATAAATGTGGTTGCCTTTGTGATTAATGTTGTGGCAACTGTTTCTTTAGGGGATGCCCCCCTTAATGTAGTGAAAGTCTCTTTTTCTCTCAATCTTGTAAAAATATCAAAGATCAATAATAATATGAGAAAGAAAACTTACTTTGTATCATTGTACTTTGATTAAGATAAACCAAAGAAATTTAATATATGAATATTTCTTTTCTCGATAGTGTTGCTTATTTAGTGGAGTCACGTAGAATGACTGATGAAGCTTTAGCAGTTGCTACAGATCCTGATTATAGATTTGAACTAGCTATTCAACTTGGTAAACTAGAGCTTGTGAAGGTAAGCAAAGATATTTCCAATACCTGACTTTATGAATTATAATTAATAATAACAGTTGTTTGTGTATATAGGATATCACACTAGTAGCACAAATTGAGTTGAAATGGAAGCAGTTGGGTGAATTAGCAATGTCTACTGGACTGTTATGTGTCATTTTCAATATATTTATTTTTGGTTTTAGATAAATAAATCTAAAATAATAATAATTTATAAAAAATTGCAGTTGGAAATGGCTAAATTGCAAATGTCTCTCCAAATAGGTCCTATTGGTACTATTTCTTAAATGAGAAATGATTTGTCATTAAAGGTGGTTTTTTCCTTAAATCATGTTCGATTTTTTAATTAAGCCTTAGGATCTGATATATAGTGATGATGGAGTTTGTTTTCGACGAGAATACCCCCGAATCTTCTCCCAAGAAGATCAAATCCTTACCCTGTTCCCGTTATACCTTTGGCCATCAATTCTATCATGTACATGATTCATAATTTCAGAAGAAAGAGGGGATTCCATGGCGTCAATATATTTTGATCATTGATGGAAAGATCCTCGAGGATGGTAAAACTTTGGCGGATCATCACGTCCAAAATGGATCAAGATTGGAGCTGGTTGTGAGTTTGGGAGGAGATACCATGCCAATTTTTGTTAAGACTTTGACAGGGAAGACCATAAAGCTGGAGGTGGAGAGCTCAAAGAACATTGATGCTGTGAAGTCAAAGATTTGAGACATAGAGGGGATTCCACTACATCAGCAACGGTTGACCATTGGTGGAAAGAACCTGAAAGATGATGTGACTTTGAAGGTAACATCTAGATTTTCGTTAAGCTTTTGACATGGAAAACCATCAGCCTGGAGGTGGAAAGCTCAAACAGTCTTCGTTATGTGATGGAAATGATTGAGGAGAAAGAGGGAATTCCAGTTAATCAGGTATATAGTTAGTTTTAAAAGACTAATTTACTCTAGAATTTTAATATTTTAAGTTTTTTTTTATTTTAATCTGAGTTCAAGTCTCGGCCATCAAACCTTCTGCACTTTTCTTAGGTACCACCAACAAACCTACCTATCCACACTTAACTTTTTAATGTAAGGGTAAGATAGTCATTTAGTCTTTTGACGATTTATATTTTATTGTGCAGGTGTTCTAAACCAAGTGTGCTAAGATAAGTGTGGGGTATGAATTTCTCAATCCTTTTACCTAATTGATCTCCTCCCAACACGTTAAAATTGATGAATTTTTTGATTTTTTTTTGGCACTAACACTTGGATGATGCTTAATTTGACTTGTTGTTGGAGAGGGTAGTGGAGTGGGTTTGCTAAGTGCCGATTGTGAGTTTGATGGATGAATTGGTCCTAAGTTGTGGCTGGATATTAAAGGTGATGAATGCCACAAATTATTGTCATTACTTTTTTTTTTTTTTGTGATGTTAGTGTTGGAAGAACATATGTATTTAGCTTTCGAGCAGATGACTGTCTCATGTGTCTTGGGTCACGCTCCATATTACTGCTTGCAGCAGAAGCAGAAAGTGGTGTTGATTTGCATTTGCTTCCTGGATTCACCTCTAATAAAGGAAATGGAAGAAGCCTCATGAAATAGATTTTTTGTATGAAACACAATAGATTAGATGAATGCAAATTTATATATTGTAAGAAATAGAATTATATGACATTAAATTTTATGCAATGATTTGTATTTTTGGAATAAGGTATTTTATTTCTATTATGAAACATTAAATGGAAATTTAATTTAAAAATTAATAAATATATAAATATATTTTTTTTAAACATTTAAATTTACATTACGTAAAATTGTGTGTCATCTTCATTTATGACATGGCCTTTCTTGACAGGGGTTTTAATGATACGCAATGCGTGTCGTCTATAGACGACGCGCAAAAGCATGTCATCTCTCGTTATAACTGGGCCTTCGTAGACGCGCATTTGCGCGTGGTCTGAGCGTTTTATGACACGCATTGCACGTCGTAAAAGGTTGTTTTTCTAGTAGTGTGGGGTGATCGTGACATATAACGGCAAACAAAACAAAACAAAACAGGAGGTGGCGATGTGTAGCAATGTGGTGGCTGACTTCGTGTTTCTTCCTCCTTTTGATCTGGAAAACAGTAAGGTAAGGAGGCTAGGTGTTTGATGATGAACAAGGGGTTATAAGGATGGCTTGGGTAGTAGAATGGTGGTGAATTGTTTGTGTTAGGATGGTGTTGTAGTGATCTTTCAATCCAAGGAGATAGAGAGACATGGAGGGAGAGATGTAGGAAGAAGAAGCTGGAGTTTTGTGTGGATTGAGAGCTCCTAATGGCTTCTACTTATAGCTAAAAGTTATACACTCATCCATTTTGAGCCATACTTAAAATCCATATTTCTACTATCTTGGAAAGGCTTGTACACAAAGGGAAGGAGAAGGGAGAAAGCATGCACACGTAGGTTTGGACAACCAAGAAGAGATTGGTTGGTCAATCTTTTAGACAAGCCCTTGATGGGCCCCACATGGGGTATACCCCCATTAATTGCCTAAACCACTAAAAACCATGTGTATCAAGAGCCATGCATCGAGATTTTTTTTCGAGAATGACGTTAGATAGACTTTAATTCAAGGATTCTGGAACATCAAACAGATTAATTTTTTGAGTTACGGATCTCCAGGAAATTGTGTTTGAAGTTTTGCGTCTTAACAGCTCGCGGTATGACTTGTGTAAATATTTTCATAAAAATTATTTCGAATGTTAAATTATATAATAGAATATATAACCAGAGTCCAAAAACCCTTTCGGAAATCCCGTCGGCAAACCATAAGTACCTCAACGGATCGATTCGATTTTACACGATTAAAGAAAAAACAATGTTTTACTATATGTTTTCTTAAAACTGTCGTATCGTGTGCATATGAACTCCGTTTTGGACCTTCTTTATATTTTCAGAAACAAGGGAACACATACTATGAGGCTAAAATGATAGTTTCTCTTAAAATAGCCTTTTACGAATTTTTAGTTTTTCAGACATATTCTTAAGGTTACAGTTTGTGTGGTTTGATTCGTTATACATTTGAAAGTGTGATATCATCTGGTATCATATAATAGTTAAAATAAACTTACTTATCATACTTAAGATGCAATAAAACTTAGTAATTCATATTAACACGAGATTTGCAGATAGATTGGTGGTTATAATAATAGCCGTAAATTCCGGGTTGTCATAGTGGAGGTGGTGGTGGTGGTAGTGGAGTTGCTGAGGTGTTGACAACCCGTCTTAAAATTCTGTGTGGACGCATCCTTCTTCCATAAAGTTCAAAGATGGAATGATGATGAGTCTTCAATAGTGGTTATAAGTCGGTCGTTATCAAAATAGAATATGTTAGTTATGTATGTATTATGTTCCATTTTTATTGTAACTTGTAAGCAATTTATAAACAGATATCTACCATAATAAGTAAACAATTTAGATAACAAATTATGAACCTAATAGTAATACCCAATGCAATAAATTGCATGCCAATTTCATTGATGATATATATATATATATATATATATATATATATATATATATATATATATATATATATATATATATATTAGTACACGGTTTTGGAAGATTGACCTTGATGATGGTCTACAATACATCAATGTGAGGAATATTTTGACAGCATAACGAACCCTTGAATAGTGTAATCACTTATTCGTAGGGTCGAACTTACATACAAGAAAGAGTAGCACTAACGCTTACTCGTAAAACCTAATCTATAAAAAAATGTGAGAAGTATAAGCTCTAAACTCGGCGTATGGTCTCCTGTGGGCCATGGAATGAAGCTATGAAGGCCTGCATCTCCTCCACTCAGTGCTCACCCTCGATTACCCTCTGATCGAGGGAAGAGTGTCTCTCCAGGTCCTCTCTGGACCCCGCTTGGGCAATGGTGAGATCTTCTTGGAGGCTGTCAATGATACTACATGTCCGACTGTAGTCCTTGTCCTGACATTGAGATCGTGCGGCAGTGACCTCCGCGGCAGCACCCACATCCAAAATCTGACTCATGGATGCTCTGGCCTACTCACCGGGACGTGTGATCCATTGGACCATGACATGGAGGGCCCTGTCTGCTGGACCTACGTGACTGAGGTCGTAAAATTCCCGCTCCAAGCCATACGAGGAATGTTGGCACTGTTGTTCTTCTCTATCTGTATAAATCCTCCGCCCAATGGGTCGTGGGCCCTAGGTAACCCTGTCGGTGCACAAGAACATGGGAGACATATGGCAGGTTAATGACCTCGGACTCTGTGTTAGAGTCCTCCTCCTCAACATCCTCAACCTGATCTTTAGGATCCTCCTCCATCTGGACTTCAGGGTCCTTTTCTATCTCCTTCTCTATCCATCCCGTGTTGGGGAAGTAGGGGTCTCCCGGAAAATAAAATCCTATCATGATGTCTATACGATAATAGGGGTATAAGAGACATAAAGAATCTAGGTGTATGGTTCTATAGTATCATAAAAGACTCTTATGGTATTTTAAACTTTATATTCAGTTCTTAGATTTTCTTTGTATAGGATGCTGGTAAGTTGTAGACTCGTTGTTCACTGCGACTATTCCCAAACACATGTTAGTCATATCTCCCATAAATATAGTTGATCAGGCTATATTTATCCTTGATATGATTACATAACTATTTGGGCTTAATTGCAGTGTAAAAGTATCTTTTTTACATAACTGTTTGAATGTGCATTTCCCATAAACTAAATGTATCGTTGTTTCTCCATGTTAGTTATTATAACCGTGTTAAATACATAGATGGCCTACTACGACGTTCTTCAGGCATCGGAATGTTATGACATTTGTCACCCCAGACCTTCCAGTCTAGCTATTGGAAGCAGCTCAGGTGCGGGATTGTCAGTCCTATATAGATCAATTCACAAGTATCACGGTCTCTTATGGGAGACTCCGATTATAATACATGACTTTTGTAGGTACACTTATTTCTATAGTGAAGACTTTAGCTCACAAAATTTGATTCAACAAGTTTACATATATTGCAATGAAAACCCTTTTATAAGTGGAAATAATACCTTTCCATAGTAATTTCATAGTGTAGAATAATTATACCTTTAAATAATTATTTGATCGCCCTAAAATGGTAAAATAGTGTAAATGACCAATAAACTATACCTATTATACTTTATCATAAATGTTATCTAGTAATAAAAATCTTTGTATGCATGATTATCACTGTTCCATGATAATAAAATAGTATAAAATAATTATATATAAACCTTTATATAATTATTCACTTTGCTCAACATGTTAAAATAATGTTAACAATCAATAAACTATACTTATTATAGTTTATTATGATATTTTGATTTTTGTACCTATATATACATATATGTAGATATATAGAGGCTAGTATAGTTAGATATTCATAAATAACAAGTATTTTACATTTAATACAAATAAATGAGTCCTTAGTATGAAAATGTCTATTTCTTTCAAGTTTTTGACTTTTAATATCACAAACGGACGAAAGGGCTTCTTGCCCAGCGGTATCAGGTGGTGCCCTCCCTCTTTGAGGTCGAGGGTTCAAATCCCGTCGTGGACATAGGTGGAATAGGTCTTGTTAGTTTAGGAGAAGATTAGATTAGCCGATTCAAAAAATATATATATCACAAACGGCAAATAGTGAACTATAGTTATAAAAAACTTATTTCTTCCTTGTTATAATTTTTAGGTCAAGTAAACTTTATATGTTTTAAACTACATATTTTTGGTCAAATCCCATAAAAATGGTACCATAACCTAGTTATGACCGTTTTTGTTAGAAAACTCACTTTTCCATAAAATGATAGATTTTGAAGATTTATTTTTGTAAAACACCAACTTTGGTATTTCTAACTTGTTTCAAGACATGTATCCAAAATAACATATCTTCGATTATAACTCACAAAAATGGTGTAATAACTTAGTTAAAACCGTTTTTGCTAGAATAATCATATCATGTTCATAAAAATCTTAGCTTTTATGGTTTTGTGTTTATGACTTTTCCATAAGAACTTCTAACATATTTATACTTGTTTTTCATAGTTTTTGTATTTTAAACAAACTTTTGTATCTAGATGTTCATAAATCTAGTATAGAAGTGTGTAGAATCACTAGTACATGAAGAAAGTACTTACCAAAACTTCAAGAACACTTGGAAGAACTTAGGGTTTGAAGATTAAAGCTTGATCTTGAAGAGAAGTGTGAAAAATGATGAAAATGAATGGCGTTGGGATGCTCTCGGCCGCAACCCTTAATAGAGGAGGTGGAAAGGGGATATATATATATATATATATATATATATATATATATATATATATATATATATATATATATATATATATATATATATATATATATATATTAAAGAGGGAAACTTCTTAGTAATAGTGAACTCAAGTTGTTTTTGACAAGAATGATCCTTTGTTTATACTCGTATGTATGTTTTGGGTTGGTTTGTATTATGGGTAGTATTTGGAATTTTGTTATTAGTTTCTATACACGTGTTTGCATTTTCTTTTCTTCACCATTATGGTAGCCAATTGCGGTTGGATTGGTGTACTTCTTTTTCCTTTAATAATTTTTTTAATATAAAGTTTATGGTCATTCCTTTTTGTCTCTGTTCTCAGTCT